TTTTTTTTTGACACAGGTCTTGCTTAGTTGGTAAGGCTGAACTCAAACTGGCAGTCCTCCTGCCTTTGTCTCCCAAGTAGCAGGGACTATAGGCTACTGATTCTGGTAAACTTTTCTTTAGAGTTATAATGCTCAAGTATGCATCTCTAAATTCCATGGTTCAGTTTTGTCTTTCTTCTTGAGGGGAGAATAGCTTCTTTGGAGCCTTGAAGAAACTTTTTTTTGTATGTTGGGGTTGAACCCAGGGTCTGTTCATGCTAAGCACATTTTCTACTACTGAGCTACCCTGCCAGACACCAAAACTTCCTTAGGTAATAGATAACATACACATAAAATTAGACAAATCTGAAGTATATAATTTTAGTGAATTATCACAAGATAAAGACTTACATTTGGAGGGAAGGGAAGACTAGAAGTTCATTGGACTAGACAAAGGAGAATGAAGGGAAGGGAGTGGAGATGGAAATAGGAAAGACAGTAGAATGAATTGGACTAACTTTCCTATGTTCATATATTAATACATGACCAGGGTTTACTCCACATCATGTTCAACCACAAAAATGGGATTCTAATTAGAGTAAGTTATACTCCATGTATGTTTAATATGCCAAAATACATTCTAGTGTCCTGTGTCTCTAAAAATAATTAAAAAAAAAAAACACCTCACATTTATATAACCATAACCTATTCAGGCTAAGAATAGAGCATCATAGTACCCAGAAGCCCCTCACATTCCCTTTCATTTTACATCTCTTCTGTTTTCCCCAAAGCAGCTGTTTGCCAGCTTTCTCTTTCTCTCTCTCTCACATATGCATACAGGTATGCCTACATACAAAATCTATATATCATACATAGATTGCCTGTGGTTTGGTGTGTTTTCTTTCTGTTAATATTGTGGAGTTTGATACACATTGTGTTATTTCCTTGGTGTATGGTATTATAATATTCACCATAACTTATTTATTCATTCTAATGTTGATGAATATCTGGGTTATTTTTATTTTTTTGTCTATTATAAATGGTTGCTGCTATGACCTATAACTATTCTCTTTTCTTGGTATTGGGAGTTAAACCCAAGGGTACTCTACCACTGAACCATATCCCCAGCCCATTTAAAAATTTTTAAATTTTGAGATAGGGTCTTCCTAAATTTCACAGTCTGGTCTTAAACTTGACTTAGCCTCCTGAGTTGCTGGGATTATTGGTATGCACCACTGTTCCCAGCTCTGCTTTGAGCATTCTTTTTTTTTTTTTTTTTAAGTTGTAGATGGACCCAATATCTTTATCTTATTTATTTACTTTTATGTGGTGCCAAGGATCGAACCCAGTGCCTCGTGCGTGAGAAGCAAATGCTCTACCACTGAGCCACAATCCCAGCCCCTGCTTTGAGCATTCTTGTACATATCTTTTGGTACCCTTGTTTATGCTTTTCTTTTCTTTCTTTCTTTCTTTTTTTTGGGTGGGGGGTTATTGTGACTAGGGGTTGAACTCAGAAGCCTTTAACCACTGAGGCATATCCTCAGGCTTTTTTTTTTTTTTTTTTAGTTGTAGATGGACACAATACCTTTTTTAAAAATTATTTTTATGTGGTACTGAGGATCAAATTCAGTGTGTCACACATGCTAGGCAAGCAGTCTACCACTGGGCTATACTCCAGTCCCCTCAGCTCTTTTTTATGTTTTATTTTGAGACAGGATCTTGCTAAGTTGCTGAGGCTGGCCTAGAACTTGCAGTCCTTCTGCCTAAACCTCCTGAGTTGCTGGGATTACAGGTGTTCACCACTATGTTCAGTTTGTTTGTTTGTTTGTTTCTTTCTTGCTTGCTTTCTTTCTTTCCTTCCTTCTTTCTTTCTTTCTCTCTCTCTTTCTCTTTTTCTTTTTTCTCTCTCTCTGTTTCTCTCTTTCTCTCTTTATTTTTCTTTCTCTTTTTCTTTCTCTCTCTCTTTCTTCCTTCCTTCCTTCCTTCCTTTCATTGGGGATTGAACCTGGGGCACTTTACCACTGAGCTACATCTTCTTCCCTTTTTTAAAAATTTGTTTTGAGACATAGTCTCACTAAATTGCCCAGCCTGGTCTTAAACTTATGATTATTCTGCCTCAGCCTCCTGAGTCTTTGAGTATATGCCTAATAGTAGATTAAGAAGGAATCAAGTTTCATTTTCAAATATAGATATCCAGTTGAACCAGGACCATTTACTGAGAAAAGTGTTTTTTTTTAATCATTCTTCAGTGACAACTTTATTATCAACTTGAGTGTCTATATAGGCATGGATATGTTTCTAGGTTCTGTTCTGTTGCACTGGTCTATTTGTCTATCTTTGAACTAATAGAAGACTCACAATTACTGTAGTTTCATAGGAAGGCTTGATATTTTTCAATAGAGTCGTGGTTATTTTTGGCCTTTGTATTTCCATATAAATTTTAGAATTAAACTGGTGCAATGGTGCATACCTATAATCCCAGTGATTTGAGAGGCTGGAGGCAAGAGGGTTACAACTTTGAGGTCAGCCCGGGCAATTTATTGAGTCCCTGTCTGAAAAAAACAAAAAAACAAAGAGGGCTGGGATATATAGCTTGGTAGTACAGCACCCCTGGGATCAATTCTTAGCACTGTAAATTTTAGAATTAGTTTCGTAAAACCATCTTGGATTGTATTGACTCTATAGACTATTGTATTTATTGACTGTATATGATAGGCTGAGAATTTTCCAAAGTTTTTCTTTTCTTTCTTTCTTTTTCTTTTTTTCTTTTTCTTGCAGTGTTGGATATTGAATCCCAGGGCCTCGTGCATGCTGGGTAAGTGCTCTACCACTGAACTTACCCCTAGGCCCAAATTTTCCTAATCTTTATTATGATTAGTTTTTGCTAATTCCGTCTTTGATTCATTTTTTTCTTTTTGCATTTTACTATAAGCCATCAAGAAAAATTAAGCTGCTCCTTCAACGTTTGCTTAGAAATTTCTTTAGCCAAATATCCAATATATTTCCTATTTCCTGTTCTCAGGATCACTCACTTTTTTTTCTTTAGTCTTTGTAAGATCTTCTTTTCTTTAGTCTCACTGTGTTCTTTTTTTTTTTTTTTTTTTTTGTGGTGCAAGCGAGGCAAGCACTCTACCAACTGAGTTATATCCCCAGCCTTCACTGTAATATTAAACATGTTATCCTAATGTCAGTGTCTGATAACTTCAGTACTTAAAGTCCCTGTGGATGTTTTTATTGTCAGTTATTGCTGTTGTTTTTCTGTTCCTGTTGTTTAGTGTCTTAGTGATCCTGAAAAGTTTCGATTGTGTGCTTGATGGTACATTTGCAAAATTGATTATAGAAATTTGGAGCTCAGGACTCTCCAGGGACATTAGCACTCTAAGATCACTTTGGCCTGATTGCAGGGCTGAGATGATTAGAAGCTCCTTTCTTCTCAAGAAACAGCTTTTCAGGTCACAGTACAAGTGGATGAGTGTCATCAGGGCCTCCCACCCTTGTAACTCTCCTAGGAGAAGAAAGACCTTGGGTATGATGCATATTTATGATCTTTGTTACCAGCCTTACTGCCACTGGGTCCCAGCTGTGTATTCTCCATGTCATTACCCTCCAATGCTTTCAAACTGATTAATTAATTAATTATGCAGTGCTGAAGATCAAACCCAGGGCCTAGCTCATGCTAGGCAAATGTTCTGTCCTGGAGCTGGCACAGTGGCACATGCCTGTAATCCCAGGGGTTTGGGAGGCTGAGATAGGAGGATTGAGAGTTCAAAGACAGCTTCAGGAGTGGTGAGGTCCTCATCAACTCAGTGAGACCTGTCTCTAAATAAAATACAAAATAGGAGATGTGGCTCAGTGGTCCAGTGCCCCTGTGTTTAATGCCTGGTAAAAAAAAAAAAAAAAATTCTACACGGAGTTAATTTTCAGCTCCACACTGATTTTTTTTTTTTTTTTTAATATGAAAGTCACACTTTCAATATCAGGTGCCACTCATTGTACCTTGAGTGTGTCTTCTTGAAAAGAATATACAATTGTCAAATAATCTTTTAAGAACTACACAAAATATGGACCACTTCACAAATTTTCATGTCATCCTTGTGCAGGGGCCAATGTAATCTTCTCTGTATTGTTCCAATTTTAGCATAAGTGCTGCTGAAGGGAGCAGCCCACAGTAATTTTGGGGGGTTGGGGTACTGGGGATTGAACCCAGAAGCATTTCACCACTGAGCCCTTTTATTTTTTTTTTTTTATTTTGAGACAGAGTTGCTTAGTTGCTAAGTTGCTTAGGGCCTAAGTTGCCAAGGCTGGTCTGGAACTTGTGATCTTCCTGCCTCAGCCTCCCAAGTTGCTGGGATTACTGGCATGCGCCACTGAGCCCAGCTGGAATTGGCTTTAAAATAATTCAGAAAAGGGGGACTGGGGCTGTAGCTCAGCAGTAGAGCATATGCCTAGCATGCACAAGGCCCTCAATTTGATCCCCAGTACTGCTGAAACATAACCTCCCCCCCCCCAAAAAAAAAAAAAAACAATTCCAGAATTACAAGAATTTCTCCTTAACTGTTAGCTTTCTTCATTAAAAATGAGGCCTTTAGACTTAAAATCAACATACTATAGTGATGCAGCCACGTCAATATTTATAGCAGCTCAATTCACAATAGCTAAACTATGGAACCAATCTAGATGTCCTTCAATAGATGACTAGATAAAGAAAATGTGGTATATATATATTCAATTGAATATTACTCAGCTTTAAAGAAGAATGAAATTATGGCATTTGTTGATAAATGGATGGAGTTGGAGAATCATGCTAAACAAAATAAACCAATCCCCAAAACCAGAGGCTGAATGTGTTCTCTAATATGTGGTTGCTACTTCACAATAAATGGGGGCACTAGAGAAGTAGAGTTACCTTAGATTAGGTGGAGGGAAGTGAAGGGAGGGAAGGAGTGGGGAGGTAGGGATAGGAAGGATAGTAGAACGAAACAGACATTATTGCTTTATGTATATATGTGACTGCATGACCAATGTGATTCCACAACATATACACTCAGAAAAAGGAGAAATTATATCCCAGCTATGTATAATATATAAAAGTGCACAAATTCAGTCTACTGTCATGTATAACTAATTAAAACAAATTAAAAAAATTTAAAAATGAGGCCTTTATATTTTTATTTATTTATTTATTTATTTTATTTTAGGTGCACTTAACCACTGAGCACAACCACAGTCCTTTTAATTTTTTTATGTTGAGAACAAAGTCTTACTAAGTTGGTTAGGGCCTCACTAAGTTGCTGAGACTGGCTTTGAACTTGCAATCCTCCTGCCTCAGTCTCTCAAGTTGCTGGGATCGCAGGCATGCTCTACAGTCAGGCTAAAATGAGTTCTTTAAAAAGAAATATGACTACCATATCAGTGATATATTTGGCGTAATTAACAGTAACTCTGTAGCTTTCAATATTAGTGTGTGATCAGTTACTTCCCCTATCTTCCAGAATGCCTTTCCAGAGGTGGTTGGTTAAAGTCAGAATCCAGACAAAATTATTTTATTAATTAATTTATTTTTACAGTGCTGGGAATTGCATCGAGCCTTATATATACTAGGTGTGTGCTTTTTACCTCAGCCTTAGGTTACCATTTTTAATGTATCTATTGTACCTATGATTTTCCCTTTTTATTCTACTTTTTTCCCTCTGTTTTGTATCTTTTTCTTTTCCTTACTTAGTCTTGCTAGAGGTCCTTCAGCTTTGGATTTATCTTCTCTATTATTTTCTGTGGCTGTTATTTACTGTTTGGTTTCTTCCTTGTTTTTCGGGGGGGGGTTTCTCTATTACTTTCATTTTTTTTAATGGTACTGGAAATTAAACCCAGGGGTGCTCTACCTTTGAATTATACTCCCAGCTCTTTTAAGTTTTATATTTGCAGAGAGATTCTTGCTAAGTTATACATGTCTGACTCCAATTTTTTATTATTCTGCCTCAGCCTCTTGAAGTAGCTGGAATTACAGGCATGTACCACTGTGCCATACTGTGTTGCTTTCACTTTTATCTTCTTGAGTTCAATAGTCTTATATATTTTTTTAAATTTTGGTATTGGAGATTGAACCCAGGGGTACTTTACCGGTAAGCTACACCCCCTTTATTTTTATTTTTTTTTTTATTTTGAGACAGCATCTTGCTAAGTTGCTTAGGGCCTTGCTAAATTGTTGCTGCTGGCCTTGAACTTGAGATCTTTCTGCTTTGGCCTCCCAGGTCAATGGGATTATATATAGGTGTGCACCACCATGGCCAGCCAATCTTGTTTATTTTTAACCTTTTTTCTTTCCTGATAAATTCTACTAAAAGTATAAATTTCCCTTCAAGAACTACTTAGGCTATATTTCATGAATTTTGATCTGTACTATTTTTTTTATAATTTTTTATCTATATATTTGTTAATTTCCTTCATGATTTCTTATTTAACATACTATAATTCACAAGTTTTTTAAAAATTTGTCTTTTTGAATCATGTTAATTAAGTATGTGGGGTGTGTGTGTGTGTGTGTGTGTGTGTGTGTGTGTGTTTTGTTTTTTAAGCACTTCTTTTATTTATTTATTTATTTATTTATTTGTTTATTTGGTACCAGGGATTGAACTCAGGGGCACTCAACCCCACTGAGCCACATCCGCAGCCCTATTTTGAGACAGGGCTACTTAGTGCCTCCCTGTTACTGAGGCTAGCTTTGAATTCAATCCTCCTGCCTCAGCCTATTGATATACTGGGATTACAGGTGTGCACTACTGGGCCCAGCCCTTTTTTGTATTTTTAACTTTGTGACAGCATAGTCTCCTGTTATTGGTTTGTAACCTTACCCTATGTGGTTAGAAAAGATATGTTGTATATCTGTCTTTTGAGAACTACTGAGACTTATTTTGTAACATTACATGTGGTGTGTCCTGGATACTGTCCCTGGTGCACCTGAGAAGAATGTGTGACATTGCAGTGTGAGATTTGGTGTGTGTAATAGCTCTTCTGGAAACCTTGAAAACTACCAGTACATGATAGCTTTGATTCATGTTATGTTTATGCCCTAAGATAGTGTGTTTGTTCCTGGTATGCAGGTGGGGTTCAAGTGGGTTTCTCATGAGCTTCCTTCTTTGCAGTGCACCCATCCACACGGAGCCACTGGAGCAGCTGGGCTCAGCGCTGAGGTTTGGATCTGGCTTTGACAGCGACCCCATGTCAGGGTAAATAAAACTGTGATGCAGCTTCCTGGTAGAAGTGACAAGTGGGCTTGGTGAGACCTGTAGGGGCGGGATGGTGCAGAGTCAATGCAGTGGGGCCCCAAGGAAGTTGTCATCATGTCTGACCATCAGAACTTTTATTTACCTTTTTTGTACCAGGGATTGAACCCAGGGGCACTTAACCAAGGAGCCACATCCCTAGCCCTTTTTAATTTTTGATTGAGAGTGAGAGAGTCTCACTAAGTTGCTTAAGGCATATATATATATATATATATATATATATATATATATATATATGTATTGCTGAAGCTGGCTTTGAATTTGTGATCCTCCTGCCTCAGCCTCCTGTGTCACTGGAATCATAAGTGCACACCACCGTGCCTGGCCAACAGGACCTTTAACTTTTATGTTGGAGAATTGTCTTCCTTAATGTGTTGGGGTGGGGGGCAGCTGTGATGGGGTGGGGCAGCGGTGACTGATAGGCTTAGGTGATAGAGGAGGAAGTGACAGGTGGTGAGGGCAGCAGTGATAAAATGTGAGGTAGTGATGGTTGTTTTAGTCAGCTTTTTTTTTGTTGCTGTAATTAAAGGACCTGACCAGCACAACTGTAGAGGAGAAAAGATTTATTTGAGGGCTTATGGTTTCAGAGGTCTCAGTCCATAGAAGTCCAGCACCTTTCCTTGGGGTTCCAGATGAGGCTGAATATCATGGTAGAAGAGTGTGGCAGAGGGAAGTAGCTCACATTATCAGAAAGTAGAGAGAGACTCCACTCTCCAGATAAAATATATACCCCAAAGCCATGCCCCAATTCCCACCTCCTCTAGCCACACTCTACCACTTCAGTTATCACTCAGTTCATCCTTATCAGGGGATTAAATAACTGATTGGATTAAGATTTACAGCCCAATCATTTCTCCTCTGAACCTTCTTGCGTTGTCTCACACGTGAACTTTTGGGGGACACCTCACAGCCAAACCACAACAATGGTGATGGTCATGGGGGCAGTGGTGATCAGATGAGGCGATGGTCAATGGTGGCAGTCATGGTGGTGGGGTAATGATGGCTATGATAGGGGCAATGGTAGGGGCAGTGAGTGTGGTGATAGGGTGATAACGGTGGGGCAGAGGTACTGGGAGAGCAGATGCCATGGTTATTGTATCAGAGTTTATGGATCATAGTCACTAGTCACTGTGTTGAGACCCTTATCTCAGGGGACCTAGAAGCAACCCTGTTCCCCAAACTCCAGTCCCCTTGACCAGGCTCCTGCCCTGTCTTGTCACCACCATTACAGGTGTTGAAATGCATGTTTGTGTGGGTAGAGTGAGCATGCAGCCACGTGTGCATGTGTTTTCTGAAGGGAGTCTGTTTCCTGAGCTGTCTCCTGCCCTGATGTGTCTGTAAGTTCCTTTCAGCAGAAGGGGCCCACTCAGGCCTAGTTGCCCCTTTGTTTTCCTTCCCTCCTTCCTTCCTTCCCTCTTTTGTAGTCCTGGGGACTGGTTGTTCTTTTGGCAGGACAGGTACTGAGACCTCAATGAGCTCTTCCACATCCAGGGAGAGCCTTCATGCAGGAACATGGGCTTTCAGGTGGCCCCATAGGATATTCTGATACCCAGCTATTGTAGACCTGGGGGCAGCCAAGACTGAGCCTCAACTTGAGTATAGTGGGTACTATAGAAGGTTGTGTGCAGTGCTGGGGTCTATGTGGTATTTTAGGAAGAGGACCACTCTGGCTTCTCTAGAGGATGAAAAGAGCAGATGGAGTGGGTATGGCAGACAGCCAGTGGAAGTAGCTGTGGCCCGCTGGCCAGAGGTGTTGGAGGTGAGCGGGGAGACAGTACTTGAGGGGAAGGATAGGGGGAGGGGGAAGATGGAGTCTGGCCTTTAGCAGCTGCCAGCCAGCAAGACACAAGAGGGTGGACAGACATAGGGGCTGCCCTGGTCTCTTCTTTGGAGACCGGGCTGGGCATCCATCCCTGTGTGGGGATACAGGACATATGCAGGATAAGTCCTACTCATGGGTTTGGGGTGAAAGACTCATCCCAGATCCTTTGGGTGAGAAGAGTGAGAAAAATGTTGAGGATTGAATCTGAGGGTCAGCGGTGTTTGAGAAATGGCAGCAGGAGGAGATGAGAGAAAGGGTTCAGAGAGGGGATAGAACATCAGGAAGTTCAGGAAGGTAGTATTGTAAACTGCACTGTGAGTTGGGGACATCACCTTGCAGAGGCATGGTGCCCTTGGCAAAAGCTGTTCAGTGGAGTAGATTGAGAATTGAGTTGAAAGTGTGTACAGTGAGACAGCTCCCTGGAGAGACTTGGCAGTGAACAGAGGAGTGAGATAGGAATTGGAGGAGGAATTAGTGTGCAGGACTTTATTGGCAGTGGTGGAGACTTGAGCTGTGAGAGTACAGAGGTGATGACATAGAATAAGGAGTCTTTTTCTTTTTCTTTTTTTTGATACTGGGGATTGAACTCAGGGGCACTTGACCACTGAGCCACATCCCCAGCCCTATTTTGTATTTTATTTAAAGACAGGGTCTCACCGAGTTGCTTAGTGCCTTGCTTTTTGCTGAGGCTGGTTTTGGACTTGTGATCCTCCTGCCTCAGCCTCCTGAGCTGCTGGGATTACAGGCATGTGCCACCGTGCCCTGCTATCCATGATACTTTTGTGAACACCCTCAGGTGGTTGCCTTTCCGAGTCCCTAGGAGACACCCTTTCTGCTGGGTATTCCTGTGTACCATCCTTGGCTGAGGGCTCTGTTTGCCTACTAGAGGGTTGGTTCTTTGGTGGAGGTCCAGCTCCTGCTGCCCTGGCTGTGGCCAGGATCTTGGGAGAAGCCTAGAAGAGGAAAGGCCCTGTGGGCCAGAGGTCTGCACCAGTTCTGCCCCCATTTTCTCTTATCAGCTTTCCTCTTTTCCTCATCTTGAGCCCTCTCCTTTGGCTCTCATCTCTGGGTTACTTCTTGGGTTCCCGAGGAATGAGGCACCAGGTTCTTAGAGCACAGGGACCTGGAAGAGCCCAGACCTGCCTCACCTTGAGACATCACACCCTGCTTGGGTTGTGTCTTCCTTCAACGTGGACCTTGGCTTCCCATAGTATGGCCGTGTGGCCTGTTGGCTTTATGTCAGCCCAGGTCTTCTCTACCTTGCTTTGGCAAGTGACTCTTGCCCTGCCCTGTTGAATGGTTGGTGGCCTGCATCGACTTGGTGTGTTTCCTCTTTAGAGTTTTGTTGGTCCCTCTATCACTGTTTTTTTGGATCCTGATTTCATTGTCCTGTCCCAGCTCCTTGCCACTCACAGGACTATTGGACTTGACTGGTATGTTTTCAAGGACCTGAGTAGTAGAATCTCTGGTCATAGTAACTGGGGGGCCAGTCACTATTGACCCTCTGCCCTGACTCTGCTGTGACGATGAGCAGGAAAGACAGGTCCATGAGGTGAGATGTGAGAGCATCATGAACCTGGGATGTCTTCCTGTCCTCAAAGTGTTCTTTCTGTGGTTCTTGGGCCCACGCACTGCGTTATAGACTGTCTGGTGTCTTGCCAGTATCATGGGTTGTCTTAGTCCAGAGACAGCTCTTTTATTGTCTAAACACTGGGCATCTTCCACCTCCTGGAGGCCCTCAAGCCCCAACCCTCAAGCTGTTCGCTCCATTGGTCTCCTGCTTAGGCTGACTCTGCCTTCTGAACTTGATCTTCAGACTCCTTGATTTTGGCTTGACCCCTTTTGGGGACGCCCCTTCCTTCCTATTGGTGGTGTAGTTCCATTAATTCTGAAACCTGATGTGGCCATGGTCCTCTGCCACATTCTGCAACCGCTCTTGAGTGTTGCTTGGTTTCCTCAGAGCATCAGGCCTGACAGTCCTGCCAGGGGCTGCCCTTGGGGTCCCTGAGTGAATTTAATAATTCATTTATTAGGAACCTGCTATGTTTTAGGCCCTGGAAATATAGTAATTGCCTAAGGCAGGCGTAAGATGCAGTTTATCAAGTGCTCACACAAAGGAATTATTATTATTATTATTTTTGGTGGGGAGGTGGTTTACCAAGGACTGAACTCAGGGGCACTGGACCACTGAGTTATATCCCCACCCCTATTTTGTATTTTATTTAGAGACAAGGTCTTGCTGAGTTACTTAGTGTCTTGCTTTTGCTAAGGCTGGCTTTGAACTCATGATCTTCCTGCCTCAGCCTCCCTAGCTGCTGGGATTACAGGCATGCACCACTGCGCCCAGCACAAAGGAACTCTTGTTTACATATTGAGGTAGAAAGGAACTTAATTCTGTAAAAGCATTTGTCAAGAAGCCTGACCTCATCTGTAGGGAGCTGATGCTTTGAACTGAGGTTTGAAGAGCGAGAAGGAATTAATTATGTAGGAGTGAGGATGGGGGGAAGAAAAGCACCCACCAGGCAGAAGGACCTGCTTGTGCAAAGGCCCTGAGGTAGGATACAGCATAGTACTTTCAAAAACTGAAAGGTTCATGTGACTGGAGCACAGACAAGGAGGGAGTGTGAGAGTCCCAGATCATGACAGATTTTGTAGATCTAACAGGGAGTTTTATTTAAATTTTTAGTTAAAAATTGGAAATTTCTTTATTTTAAGTTTATGTCTAGTTAGACAAACTCCGACTTTTTTCTTCTTTAATTGTCAACTATAATATACATACAGAAAACTACACATATACCCACAATTTAGCAAGTACTTTACTTATAAAGCAAATTATTGTTTCCAACAGCTAGAAGAGTCATAGTGTACATTTCAGCAGGGGGTGCCATGGTCAGACCTGGTAGGATGGTGCAGTGGGGTGGCAACTGCATCTTAGTAAGGCCAAATAGAAGCTTGGAGAGTATGCTGGTAGAAGAGGAGAAGCAAAAGGGACCTGCTGGAAGTATCATGTTTGTCATCCAGGGCCCTAGGGTTGTGCTGGAGGGGGTAGGTGGATGAAGGTGCTCATCTGGGAGAATGGCTGCAACAGAGTAGGCAGTAGGGTGGTGAGGAGCTAGAGGTGAGCTTGTGTGTTGTTCAGGCATGCCCAGGCTGGGGCATCTCAGATCCCCCAGTGGAGCTATTCTGGGTAGCAGACAGCTGAGGCAAGTGAGGATCAAAGGCGGCTCTGGAAAGGCTCCCAGTGCCTTGGCTTCTCCTTCTCCCCCTTAGTCCCCTCCTGGCTGCTGGCACCTGGGCCATGACTGTGTCTTTAAGAGGGTGGCTCCAGGGCCTCTTGTGTCTGTCCTTCCTGCCGCTGACGTCAGGGATGGGCAGGACTGAGGAGGCGATTTGCTTTTCTTTTCCTTGAAAGGGGAGGAGATTGAAACTGAGTGGCCTCTCTTGAAAAGGGGAAATTCCAGGCATGCAGGAGGCCCTAGGGTGAAGGCGGAGGCTAACATGGGGTGAGCTTGGGCGCCATTCTTTAGAGACTGAGACAGGAAACAGAGCTTGCTCCAGAACTGACGCTGGCTCTGCCTGGGCATGTCATTGATTGTGTATGAATGTGGGTTCCTACATTCCTGCCTCTAGTTGGGCAGGGAGACAGCTATGGTCTGATGGTCCTGTCTTAAGGGCTTGTACTGGCCACTTGATGGTGATGGCTCCCATCCTGGGAGCTTGCCTGGGTGCTTTTGAGCCTAGAGTGTGCAGAGCCTTTTCTTTGGCTGGGGAGCCCAGCCATACTGAGAGTGTGTTGCTCCTCTGGGCTGTGAACTGGAAGCCCATGTTGGGGTAGGGTGGGACCCACACCCTCCCTGGCCTCCAAGGTGGCACATGCCCTGTAGCTAACAAAGCTATTTCCAACTTTGAATGTACGTGGTGCATTTATTTACCAAGCATTTACCTTCTATAAGAATACTTTGGGGCCCCTGGGAACATGGGAGGATAGTAAGGGGCCCTGTCTATCTTTGGAAGTCTGTTTTGGTGAACTTCCTACCCTGTTTTTTCACAGGGCAAGCCCTCATTCTGTGGACACCTGGGTTGGTCAGGGAAGTCTCTTACAGAGACCACTGCTCTGCCCACCCTGCCCCTCCAAATCATCCTGTCTACTTTTAGTTTTCTCATCTAGGAAGCAACCGTGCCACAGTACCTAGCTTGTGGCACGTTCCTGATAGCCATCTGCTTTGTGGTTGCAGGGGCGGGGGTGGTGATGGACAAGGTGTATATGCAGGAGGCTGAGGGTAAGGTGCAGAGGACCTGAGAGGGGAGCAGAGGACAGACCCTGGGCTAGGAGCTTTACAGAGCTCCTAGCTCACAAATAACCCCATTTTACATGTGAGGAAACTGACACTGAGACAGGTTCAACTACACAACTAGGAAGTTTCGGTATCTATATTGCTTAGAGTCTTTTTTGGTAAGAGGGATGTTCCTTGGAGCAGTTGAGGTATGGACTGCTTCTCCTGGGAGGGGGAGGGGCCTTGGGTCATGACCAGCTCTTTGGCAGGTTTGGAGCAACTGTAGCCATCGGCCTCACCATCTTTGTGCTCTCTGTTGTCACCATCATCGTCTGCTTCACCTGCTCCTGCTGCTGTTTGTACAAGATGTGCCGCCGACCACGTCGTAAGCATGCCCCACGCCCCACCCCTCATCCTACCGGGACCCTTCTTCTGTGCAGGTCCAGATTCCTGGATAGGCAAGGGCAGCTGACCAGAGCCCTACTTTGGCCAAGCTGGAGGGATGAGGGGCAAGCCAACCTCAAGACCTGGGGAACTGGAGTGTCTTAAATGGGATTCTCTTTGCAGCCGTTGTGACCACCACCACTGCCACCACTGTGGTGCATGCACCTTACCCTCAGCCTCCAAGTGTGCCCCCTAGCTATCCTGGACCAACATACCAGGGCTACCATCCCATGCCCCCGCAGCCAGGGATGCCAGCAGCACCCTACCCGACACAGTACCCACCACCCTATCCAGCCCAGCCCGTGGGCCCACCAGCCTACCATGAGACCTTAGCTGGTGAGTACCACTGCAAATTCTGTGACTCTGCCTGCCCCTCAGCTCATGCCTGTGCCCCCGTATCCCAGGGTATGTCATTGGATGTTTCTGTCCCTTTCTGCTAGCCAGCGCATTTGCATTACAGCCCACTGTGCCACAGCTAACTAATGTCCTCTTTACTTTCAGGAGGTGCAGCCATGCCATACCCTGCCAGCCAGCCTCCTTATAACCCGGCCTACATGGATCCCCCAAAGGCAGCCCCCTGAGTTTGCCTCTCTAGCTGCCACTTGATTATGTTGTGTGTGAGTGGTGTGCAGGCACAGTTCTTTACTGCCCTGTGTGTGGTGTGTGTGTCCTGTCTAGACACGTGGCTTCCTCTGATACTGACCAGGTAGGGAACAATCCTTGCCAGAGTAGGCTGGGACCAAACTTTTGCTTCCTCACTTGAAATCATGCTTCCTGAAATCTCAAGCATATTTAAAAAATGGGGTAGGTCTTTTCCAACTCACTCCAGGGTTACCAGGTTCAGTCTGTCACATTAGGATTGCAATTTTTATGGGCACCATGGGCCATGTATTCTGGTTTTAGGAATGGCCAGTTGCTGCTCAAAATCATGGCTTTTTCCTAGGGTTTGGGTTACCCTTTGCAGAGCCTGTGCTGTGAAGCAGGCAAGTAGACAAAGTATGGGATCTGGCTGAAGCTCAGTGCTTTGGGTAGGTGTCCCTGGAGTGGGTGCCATACTCAGTGGAGGTTGGTCGGCTCCTGATGTCAACACACCCCAGGCACAGTCCCATCTACCTGACAGCTCTCTATCTGGACTGTCCTTCCATCCTTCCTGCAGGGCCAGATGCACTCATGATTCCTACCACCAGTGGGGAAGCTGTCCCCCTTGCTGCCCGGCCCCTGCCACAGGTGGGCAAGGGGGCCTTTCCACCAACACACTCAGGTATCCTTCCTGCAGTGTTTTTTACTTTTAGCCAAATATTTTGCCTGTTTTCTGTTTTAAGATGTGTGATAGTTGATGTGAAGCTGAAATGTATGGAGAGAAACTGATCCACAACCTAACCTCTGATACTCTGTTTCCCCTGGTCCTAGCCTGATAGGAATATCCAACTCATATACCCCAATCTATAGTTGTCCTAGCAGTAGGGACACCAGGGCCAAGGGACCATCTGGACCAAAGGTGAGGGTGGGGGCTTCGGTGGCAGCTCTGACCCAGATACAAATACCTCGGTGTACCCTGCCCCTGTTAATGTTTGACCAGGTCTGTTTTAGCTTTCAATCTGTTAATGTGTTTCTAAGAGTCTAGAGTCTGCACCCTTGTTTATAATAAAAACAAATATTCAGAGCTGCCATCTCCTTTTTTTTTTTTCAGAGCCTTAGTAACTGGGATTGAGCCTTAGGCTGAGTATTGTTTCCATTCACTATTTGGATATATGTATCTACTTTTACTGGGCTCAAAGGTTTGCTTATTTTGTGAAGAGAGTAAGGGACAAGGACTGCTCCCCAGGTCCCTAGTACAGGTAGAGGCCCCAGCTGCCAAGGAAGTTAGGAGGCAAATGACTACTCAGTGTTGTGGGGGGTCTTTATTAGATTTTCCTTCTCAATCTACTGCCCAGGTGTGGCCAGGAATAGTCCATACAATGTGGCTATCGCCAAGGTGAGGAAGGCCAGCAGGCCCAGAGGGGCCAGCAGCCCCTCCCGGGGTGGGATTCCAGGGGCTATTGTTGAAGTAACAGCCTTGGGTCTTCTGCTTTCACCAATGCTGGGACTAGCATTCTTGGTAGTGGCTAAGGGTGTAGTGGCTGTGACCGCAGACCGTTTGGGGTTGGTCCCAGAAGAGGCCATGACGGCATACATAGGCCTGATGGTGCGAAAGGGCTTGGCGTGAGTATCCACCCACTGCAGCAGGGCCTTTGGCTTCCACTGACATATGCTAAGCAGAGCTAAAACATCACCCTCAGCCGTGTGTGAGTCCACTGGGGCCTGCCCATATAGGCGGGTATAGATACTGCCCAGGCTGTAGCTCTTCCTTGGGCCATGCTCTGAGGGGCTGCTAGCTTGTTCCAAGGCCTTCAGGGCAGCAATGCTGTCCACACAGAAAGCACCATCCAGAATACTGGCAAGACCCAGCATAGCCAGCTCTGCCTGGAGCAGGGGGAAGTCGTAGCGGTCACCGTTGTGTGCCACCAGGCACCAAGGCTGTGGCTGGCGCTGCAGGAAGGCTTGGAGCAGGTTGGCCAGGTTGTTATCAAAGCGTTGACGCCCATGTGCTGCGAGCACAGCTGTGCTCAGACCTGTGATCTCGCTGGCTGCAGGACTGCAGGCTTTCCCAGGAGCCACGCACAGTGAAAGCTTGTCTGCCACGCGTGGTGGCAGGGGCACTGTGGGTGATAACCCTTGAGAGGTGAGAGTATTCTCCAGGGCACATCTGTGGACAGCCAGCAGGCACAACTCCGTGACCTTGGGTTGGGAGAATGGCAGGCCAGTGGCCTCCAGGTCCAAGAAGATGAGGGTCTGCATGGGACCAGGAGGTGGGGCCTGTGAGCCCATGCTGGGGTAGGTACCTGCTGCTGTGCCTGGGAAGGAGCATGAGGTTGGAGGTGGAGCATGTGAATGCAAGGGAAAGATCTGAAGTGAGCAGGGTCTGGGGGCAAGGGTGGGAGGAGAGTGGGCATAAGTACATTGTAGGTTTTGCCTGCACAGTCAGGCACTGTCTGAGAGCTCTAGAGCCCATTTTCAGGGCAGGAAGTTGGTGAGGGTGGGGTAGCTTCCTTAGAGGAGGACTGTACTTTTGGGGAAGGTTCCTTCTTCCTCACATGGGTTTGGTCCCGCCCTTAGTGCCCACCTAGTACAATGTGGGGGAAACCCATGACATTCTTGCCCTGCCCCATCCCCTTGGGGGTCCACACTTACCGGAATAGGGAGGCAGCAGTGACTAGAAAGAGTCAGGCACGCACACTCTTGCTGGCCCTGCTGTTGGCAGCAGTGGCGGGAAGTGAAGCTGGGTTTGGGCCCGCCTGCGAGCCTGCCTCGTGAGCAAGGCCCGCCCTGCTCATCAGCTTGCCTAGTCTGTGCCTCTTTTGCTAAAACCCCTCCCTCCCCAGGCATCCCAGAAGGTCTGCTCAGATCCACAGCTGTGGGCCTGCTGGCTGACACTGTGCACAGGGGGCCCTCATGCTGCTGAGAGCCCACAGAGAAAACAGCTGCCTCAGCTATCTCCAGGTGCCAGGCTAGTTCCAGGTCTCAAGCAATGCTGTGAGCCCCTGCCATGGCCCTTTTGTGCCTAGTCCTTGGCCTACTTTCCCAGGTTTAGTTCTGGCCTAGGGCAGCCTCCTATCTGCCACACAATGGTTTCTCCCCACGGCCCCAGCCAAAGCAATGACTCAGGACAATTCCACCAACAGGCCAGGGCTTTCCTCAAGGCAGATTAGTTACCATGGGGACCGTCTCAGTTCCAGCCAGGGAGATGGTGGGGGAGGCGTTAAGTCTTCCTGGGTCCCCGTCCAGTTCCTTCCCTCCCACTCAGCCAAAGAGATCAGAGAAACAACGCATTCTCACATTCTCGGCAACTGCCGGTCATTGCTTTTAATCAGAGGATGTGGTGTGTGAGGAAAGCAGCAGTGCTGGTGCCCCCTTGTGGCAGGATGCTCAGGGCCTCAGCCACAGTCCATTTCAGGGTCCTCCATGTCTGTCTCCGTGGCACAGAGGTCATCCAGGGCTGCCTCTGAGCCAAAAGGAAGAGGGAGGGTTCAATGGTGAAGGCCTGAAGGTGCTAGGACCTGGGGGAAGTCCCACCTGTCCTCCCCCAGCACCTGCAGGAACTAACCAGTCCCTTCCATGCCCAGGCTATTATGAGCAAAGTGATAACAAAGGCAATTCAGATCAGGATATTCTGGAAAAACCGTGGCTCTGCCAGGTCAACTCAACAAATATGGGCAAAGGGCAGCCCAATATTTTCAGAAGAACCACAGCATGCAGGGCAGGAGGTCCTCAGAATAGGAATCTGACTTGCTCACAAGGATCAGGGAGAACCCACACGTGCGTGGGCTTATTGGCTCACCTTCACAGTCGGTCACGTCAGGAAGCCCTCGAATCAGCATGCTGACCCCTGGCATAACCTGGTCATACTGATGCAGGACTTCCACACAGTGCACAGTAAAGAGCTTGTCCTTCTGGGACAGACTGTGCAGGAGCAACACTGTGTCTCGCAGACACCGCACTGTCCGCTTCTGCTGGTCAGTCTTTGGGAGCCCCCCTGCCCTTTGCACGGTCAGCCACTGTCTGTGCAGCATCACTGTGAGAACTCTAACCACCTGGAGTGAGAAAGTGTGCAGACTGAGGTTTCCAACCTTTCTGTGCCCTAACACTCTGTTCAGCCTAGCTGCCCCAGGGGAGCAGGGCTCTAACTGGGACTTGTGCAAGGTTCCTTTATCCACAAACAGAGCTGCCATGTTGTTGGCACTGGATACTCACCTCTACATTGCATTGACAGTCAGAGCCAGTGACTGTGGGGGGAGGGCTATACACACCCAGTTTGGCCAGGAGCCACACTGCCTGGAATAAAAAAAGATTCTATTTTATCCTGTCAGAATAAGACCCTTGTCACTGTGCAAGGGCTCTTTCAGGCATCTCCTACAAGAGCTCTAGCTGCTTTGGCAACTGCTTGTCTGTACAAATGGGGTCTTAGAAGCAGTGGTATGGGGTTTCCAGGCTAGACTCAGGACTGGCACCTGAATTTCACCAATAATCCGCCTGCCTCCAGACTCATTTCCAGCCACCAGGCCCCAAAGCCAGGATAGCATCAATTATCACGCAACTCAGCTGAGTCCCATTACAACCTGTATTGTATCTGTGTGGGGAGTCCCTAAATGAGTTGCTTGATAAGCTGCAAGCTGCTTGATAAAAACTCTTGTTACCAAAAAGAATTACAGTCCCCTTTCTCTCCAGAGAGGAGGGGAGAATTTGTGGTCTTTTAAGATGGGGTGATGAGCAATCTCCATAAGGTTCCCTGTTTTACCTCTTGTTCCAGCTGAAGCCACTGTGTCTCTGAAGCCACCTTATCAGGCCTTGATGTGATGTACATGTACAGCAGCAGGAGGAGGCAGCTTTCTGAAAAGGATACCCCTATCTCACTCAGGGTCCCCTTTCTGCAGAAGCCCTCAGGAGGCCCCTGTCCCTGCCCCAACCCCTCCCTCCCTCTGTAAGAGTGCAGGCCCACCTTTACCAGAGTGGGAACAGAGTTGAGGTGCAAGGCTATCATGGTCCACTAGGAGGGAGAGCAGCTGGACAGCCAGCAGCACACAAGGCAGGGGTGTCTCTGGGCTGAGGCACCGTGGCAGCACTGGCAACACACACTGGAACCTGAAAGATGGGCCCAAAGAAATGTGACACTCCTTAAAAGGAGATTGGTTCAAATGCTGCTCCCTCTCACACTGACTACTTACTATGAAGCTGTCTCATGTGAACGAGTGGACACTAACCTTTACTGAAGACTGCTATGGCTCAGAGATGACAGCCCTCACCTTGCACAGCAACACCCAGTAAATGGGAGAGGATTCCCTGGACCTGGGATGCCTGGCCTCTACAAGCTCCTGGTCTCTTCCCTGCCTGTGCTCCCAAATAGGGATGCAGGGCATAACTTGGTAAATTCTTGCTTACCACCACAGGACTCACCAGGACTCTAGAAGTGACAAAAAATGGACCTGGCTATGGCTGGATGTTATAAGGCCACTCACAGAGCAAGGAAGACCATTTTCTCTTCAGTAAACACTGGTCATCTCTGCTGTCACTGTGGGGTGTGCATGGGTAAGAGGCTCTGGGTATACTTTCTCCCAGGTCTTAGGGGGAAAGGGATAGCTATGACCAAGGGACCAAAGAACCAAGTCTCAAGGCAACTGCTGCTATTTGCTCAATCGTCCAGCCTGCAAGAGCATAACGGGGAACTGGCCTGGTGATTGGGGAGCCACCATCTAAAACACTCTGTGGGTTAGACTATATAATATCTTAGCATGAAGATCAAGAATATCCCTCAGTATGTCACTATTTGGGTGAACTCATTTTATGGCATGTCCTGTAAGCATGGAAAAAGTTGCATTTTCTTTAGTTGCCAGGGACCCTGGAACTTTGTGGGAAACTGGAACTTAACCTGGTTACCTGCTCTCATTGTTCAGCTGTAAGTGGCCCTTAATTAGTCACTAAGGCTCCTGAAAGTATCTGCAAGAACAATTCACCTTTGTATAAAACACAGTGGTTTCCAAGTTATTTCTTGCTAGAACTGGGAACTTTTTAAAAATGAAATTTCATGTATAGCCTTTGTATACAAGAGAAGTCATGCTGTTCTAGTTA